ATGGTTCCCAAGTAATCGAAATTCTTTCCTCTTTCTTCTTATTTGGCGCTGTAACCGCCTTCCTTTTCCTCTGCTACCACCAGTGGGTTCCGAGTTAAATACTTTCAGAGCTGGAGCGTCGGTGCCCATTCGAACTACATGAGCGCTGTATTTTAATTCGCTGCACTATGTCCATGTCGTTGTAAAGCCCATCGTTCCATCTTCTGCGGTACTCGCCGTCGCCAACGCGTAAAGGCCCGTAAATCTTCCGCAAAATCTTTCTCTCGAATACTCCGAGAGCCGCCTCATCGGATGTTGTCATTGTCCATGCTTCTGCGCCATATACCAGCACGGGCATGATGAGTGACTTTTAGAGTGTGGTTTTCTTACGTCGAGAGAGGACTTTACTCCTGAATTGCCTACTCAGTCCAAAGTAGCACTTGTTGGCTAGAGTGGTTCTGCGTTGGATTTCCATGCTGACATTATTATCGGTGTTAATACTGGTTTCCAAGTAAACGAAATTCTCCACTTTCTCCAAATTATAACTGTCAACAGTGACGTGGGTGCAAAGCGCGAATGTGATGACTGTTTAACATAGATACTTCGTCTTGGCCTCGTTTATCACCAGACCTATTCGCTTTGCTTCCTTATCCAAAAGGCAGAACAGACTTCGCGGTTTTTGTTACCGATGATATCGATGTCATCCCATGTTGTCCGATGTTTAGTACCCATATTGTAACATTTCATTTATTTATCAATTTACTCAGTTAAATTTTCAAACAGGCGGTAACCCTCCTCAAGCATATCTTCGGCTGTAAATCTTCTTAAAACTCTTCAGTTTGATACCCACATTGCTATATTTCATTTATTTAATTACTTTAACTAAATTACAATTTTCAAAGAGCTGGAAACCCTCTTCAAAAGTATTTCCAATAGTAATGTTTCTTATTCCAATAGTAATATATATTTTACCAATTAAATTTAGTTCAATTTTCAAACAGGTAGCAACCCTCCTCAAACATATTTACGGCTGTAACCCTTCTTAAAAATATAAAGTTTGATACCCACATTGCAATAATTCATTTATTTTATCAATTTAACTGAGTTAAAATTTTCAAATAGGTGGCAATTCTCAAAAATATTTCCAGCAGTTATCTCTCTTAAACCTCTTTTAAAATACTGTAATGCATTATCTGCAAATTATTCATACAAAAAAAAAAATATTTTCTTGCATCATAATAATTGTTCAGCACAAAAATTATGCAAATACTGACGCGATAAATATTGAGCATGTAACCAGTGTTGCCGTTGTGCGACTAAAGGGGAAATTTGACCCTTTGACCCGACTTTTTGAAAATTTTGATTTTTTTACCCTTTTCCAAAATGATGTGCGAGATTTTTAAGGAAATGTTAACAGAACCATGCTATTAAAAAATATTTCTTCCTAGGTATAAGTACGAAAAAATGCATCACTTAAAACTTTTAAGGGAAATTTAACTCTTCTCGATTTATGTGTATGTTTGCAACCCTGTTTTGTGACAAGCTTGTCCCGCTATTTTCTTTTCAAATTCATAAGATTTATTCTTTTACTAGTACATAAAAGCCAAAAATAATATGGTGACCCTTTTTTCGTCAATGACCCCTTTTTTGCGACTTTCTGAAAATTCTCATCGGCAACACTGCATGTAGCATTCGTGCGCGATCCATCAATATGGATCGCGATCCAAATATATATCGTGATAATTACTGACCGTGTAACAGGGCCCTTAAACCTCATTATCTGTTGAAACACAATACCGACGATCGGCGAATTTTCTCACAGTAGTGTGACGATGGCGGCAACTTTTGCCCAAAAATTTCGCCCAGTAAAACACAACTACGGCGACAACGAATTAAGCTGCTTATGACAAGGTGCAATTAAAATTTTTACAAACAATAAGATTATTAATTTCTTACAAAAACTAACAATGGATCGTATTTTGCCGCTGCCGCCAGCGACGACGATAGAAAGTTGCGAACAGTCGTCGGACGAACGTCGTCGTTTGCTTTGGTTGTGTGTGTTCTCATATACAACAGTGTGTTTTAGTTTTTACAGCGAACATTCGCAGCGAAAAATTCGCCGTTCGTCGGCATTGTGTTTCAGCGGTAATTTGGTACCAATATTGTAATTTTCCCCGAACCGGTTCACTTTTCCTTTTTTGGTTTCCATACATCGTCGCCTGGGTAAAAGATTGTCGTAAGCGCCATTTTGACGATTTTTACTTCTAGATGCAGTTATATATTTTGAAATAAGATCTTTCGCTTGGTGTTATCAATTTTAAGATACCTCCTTTAGTTTCCGAGATATTGACTACGACTTTTTCGATAATTTAGTAAAAATGTGGTTGGTGATGCAGTCATATTTAACTAATCAATATCTTAAAAGTGGCGTTCTCCATTCTTGGATATCTCCTTTAGTTTCTGAGATATTGAGTAAGAAGTGTCGTTAATTTGGTAGAAATTTTGATCACATTTTGTCGTACTTCATACAAAGTGGCTGCCAAATTGTGGACAAATGACGCTTACGACAAAATTTTACTAAAGAAAATCCTTCATAAACTCAAAACTAATTAACAATAAACATTAAAAATTAAATAATTTAAGAATTTTGTTAACTAGTAACATTTTCAGAGAAAATCTATCTTCGCGTTTTTGAGAAATTGCATTCCAAACTTCAATCGCGATTTCCCACAACCTGCCGAAATTAACATACGACAATCTTTTACCCAGACGACGACATGTATTTACTATGGGCGGAATAAAAATTTTCGGATGAATTTTTTTCGGGCGAAACTCAGGATAAAGCAGAATATGAATTTTTATGCTGGGTTTTACACTAAACCTACCTCCAAGTAATTTATGTAAAAATTGGAACAATGATCAGGGCTCGGATGTAGCAATTTCATCTTTTTCTTAAACTCTCATCATTTTTTGCTATTTTTCAATTTGAGGTAATTTAATTTCTCCATGACACAATCATCGGAACTAAACCAAATAAGTATGGGACCACTTTTGAGGTACCAATATTTATTGAAATCGGATGACGTGGTCGAAAGTTATCCGGTAGCATATACATAAAAAAATATTCCAATGAATTGATAACCTTCCTAATTATTATTATTTTTTTTTGGAAGTCGTTAAAAAAGAAAAAAAATTTGGTTATTCATTTTAAATGTACATGAATGGAAAAAGGGAAAAGATTAAATGTTACTAAAAAAGCATACCTTTATTTTAAGTTCTATCTTTTTAATTTAAATATATGCGCAAGTGTCTTCCGACTACTGTCATAAAAAATGTTGCCTTTTCATTGCCCTGGAAAAGAAAACGTCATTAAATAATTTAAAGAAATCTCGCTCCTTGCCACTTTATCTCAGCAAAAAGGTGTTGCCGATCAGCGAACTAATGGCCGGTTAATAAGATTATCTCTACAAAAAAAATTGATTTTGTTTTGTTTTCACCTATCACAAATCGGTGATGCATTTTTTAAACCATTGGAGCCATAAAAACTAAATTACTTCGTGAGACAAAACTTTAAAGTTTTCCTTTTAACGTATGTAAGCCCCACGGATTCTTTACGGGGTGCATTTACAGGTTTAATTTTTTGAAATTCAGTTCAGAGTGCGCAGCTCAGGCAATATTTTGCATGCGATATTTGGAATTGTGTTTTAAATGATTCAGGAGCAGTTTCATTAAGTCACGATGACGTTACAGATCTATCGTGTTGCTAACAAAAAAAACGCATAAAAAGATTTTTAGGTCCCTGTTTCCATAAGTCCAGGGGGTCTACTCTGTAATGCGATGCGAAAGAGAAATGCGATGCGATAGGCAATCGTCACAGCATATTACTTACGGCGTATTTGTCTTTCGTATCGCATTGCAGAGCAGAGCATACCAGGGGGATACAAAAGCCCGATTTTTTTTTAAGAAAAAGAAATGCACCTATA